GTGTGTGTGTGTGTGTGTGTGTGTGTGTGTGTGTGTGTGTGTGTGTGTGCGCGCGCGCGCTCGTGTGTGCACATAGAAGTTGACTGTTGAAGTATGGGCGTCTTCCATTTTTGTTGTAGTAACACTGATCTACATTTGAGTCATAAGTTCACTCTCTTTTTACCACATGCCTGACTGCTTTAAGCACTGTATGAATTGTGATTTTTCTGGACTTGTCACCTCACCAGATGCAGCCACTATGATGTGGTTTGAGAAACTTCATGTGTGGCTTCTTTTTGTGGAGAAGAATATCATCTATCCACTGATTGTCCTCAATGAACTTAGCAGCAGTGCAGAGACAATTGCCAGCCCAAAGAAACTGGATACAGAGTAAGTGCATAGTCCTCTGATCCATGTCATTAGGTGAGAGCAGTAATGAGCAACGGCTTACACTTAGTAGTAGAGCAGTCTGAGTCATTGGTCAGGTACTGTTAAATACTGTGTCTCTGGCACACAGCATTAGAAGATAAAGGCTCAGGTGAAAATTTCTTCCTTTTTTGAGCATCACTGTATTTACTGCTCTTGACTTCTTACTGTCCACCAGTATTTAATGAGAGGATGCTTACTAAGTAAAGATAGTTTGAGGCTGGCCAGATGGCTCAGCAGGTAAAGGCGCCTGCTGCTAAGCCTCAGGACCTACCTAGTTCAATCCCTGGGACTCGCATAGTGGAAGGAGGGACACCAGCTCCAGCAAGCTGTCTTCTGCCCTCCACTCATGCCGTGGCAAGTATGTGTGCTCGCACACACACGTGCATTCATTCCTGCACAATAGATGAAAAAAATAGTTTATTTTAAAAATTAAAAAGTTAGGTTTTAATATTAGCAGGTTTGGAAGGTGGCTGTTCTGTGCAAATCAGACTGGATAGATGGTCATTTGCCCACGTGGTTATCCTACAATCATACCCAATAGTTTGGTTCCATGTTATAGGGTGTTAGTACATGTTTTTCATGTATTACATGCAGATAATATTGAAGTGATAACAAATATTGAAAAACTAGAGAAGGAAGTTTTAGAACTGTAACGTTTGGTTTTTAAACATGCTTATTCATGTAGAGGATAAAGTTCATAGTATGTACTAATAAAGAATAGTTATTAGTGCATTTCAGGGTGTGATATCCTCATCCATGGAAATCACTGTTATCATATTTCTATTTCTTGAGACACAGGAGTTGACACTGTGGTCTCCTGAGTTCTGGGATTACGGGTGTGCACACACACCGTGCTCTTACACATCAATTCCAGACATCTGGTCTCTATAGAAAGCTTCCTAGTGAGCACGTGGTGACCTCGGGGTTGGCAGATGCCAAGGATTCTCAGCGCAGGCTGATGGGCTGCGCCTCTCTCTCCAGGTTGGGAGCCTTGGTGATCACCATTGCTGGCCTGAAGCTGCTGCGGTCCTCCTTTAGCAGTCCCACACACCAGTACATCACGGTCATCTTTACTGTGCTCTTGTTCAAGTTTGACTATGAAGCCTTCTCGGAGACAATGCTGCTGGATCTCTTCTTCATGTCCATCTTGTTCAGCAAGGTAATCCATCACGAAAGGAGTGTGTCTGCAGAAGCTCTCTCCCTCAGTGTCATGCTTGTGAGGCCCGTGCTGCTGTTAAATTTGATTTATTGGCTTCTAAGCAATAGTCCTCATCCGTGACCAGTTAATTAGCGCATATTGAACCCAGGAAGCAGTGCTTGTCATGCAGTTCATAAGCGCCAAAGTCAAAGAGACTTAAATGCGGACTGTGTCCACTGGTAGCGGTTGGTTCAGACAGGTGTCTGGTACGGAGATTGTTGTTCAGGAGGCAGTGGCCACTGTATTAGAGAGAGGCTCTCCTGGGTCCTCGTGACATGCCATGTGGACCATATTTACTCCAGAATGTTAAAGTTCAAGGGAAATGTGTCCTGGGATAAAATACACATGTGCATTAGAGACACCAAGAGTTTCTGTTCAAGGGCAGTAGTCTTGTTCCTCCCACCCCCTTTGCTTGCAGTAGTAGTAATACCGTAAGTGACCAGAAGAGGGCAGTCCATAAGTCTGTGTCTACATTAAAACAAACCATCTTTGTATTGAAATGATGCCAGTGTTTTGGCAGTTGATAAATCTTGCCCTGTGATTGGAAAATAAGTTCAGTGCCATTTTCCTCTTAGGAAGAAGGCACATCTTAGCAGCCTTTTGTTTTCTGGTTGAAGTGCCTGCCTAGTGTTTCCTGACGACAGCCTCTCCTCTCTCCCCACAGCTTTGGGAGCTCCTCTATAAGCTGCAGTTCGTGTACACCTATGTCGCGCCCTGGCAGATCACCTGGGGCTCTGCATTCCATGCTTTTGCTCAGCCCTTTGCGGTGCCCCGTATCCTTCACTGCAGTGTATGAGAATGGCCAGTCATATCCTTGAGAACGTCAGCCTGTAGGCAGTCTTTTCCAGCAGACCTGCCAGGGACTGAGACAAGCTGCCAAACCTCACTCTGAAGACCCGCCTGTCCTGACTTAGGTTGGCAGCCCACAGACCAGCCAAACGTGAGCGAAGATAGGATTCAGAACAAGTAATGCTGTTTTTAAATTTTACATTTAAAAACTAGATGACTGTTAGGAAAGTATAGGAACTTTTAAAGCACGTGGAATAAATGAGCAGAACATTTTTCACAACAGTCATCACTAAATTTCCGGGTAAAGGTTTCCATCCTCCTCATACCTCAGAAACACTTTAAAATAACCACAAAGACCAGGGACTCCAGCCTTGCTCAAGTGTAGACTTTCGGTATTTGCAACTTTTAGAAAAATATGTTATTACATGTATTTACCTAAGTATTGCTTACATCTGTTAGTGTGTATGTGCTGCATGTGTAGAGGTCAGAGGAGAACTAGGAAAGGTCAGTTCACCTTTCAGTGTGCCTGCCGAGGCCTGCCAAAACGTACCCTTACCTGCAGAGCCATCTCGTTTGGCCCCAAAATTCGGTTTTAGACTCCATGAAGTTAAACCCGGGTATATCATTCCAAGATTGACATGACGAAGGCTTTTTCCTTCATTTCTTTTTTCTGTTTGCTGTGTTTGTTCCTTAACCGTTTCCTCATAGACTCGGCTATGTTGTTCGTTCAGGCAGTGGTGTCAGCCATTTTCTCCACGCCGCTGACCCCCTTCCTGGGCAGCGCCATATTCATCACCTCGTACGTTAGACCCGTGAGGTTCTGGGAGAGAGACTACAAGTGAGTGAACAGATCACACAGAAGCCAGTTTCTGTCTTTTCACAGGGAAGAACAATTGATGGCTTTGTCATAAAAATGTATTTTTGTTCATAATTTGTTGTGATAAAATACTTGTTTTTGCTGAAAATTTACAACTATTTTTAAAATTTGCAGATTATGTAGAGTTGAGGATATTGATCTTTATTTTCTCATCTGTGTGATTCTTAGAGGTATAATCCTAATTACACTTGTCTGTGCTTTTTCAGTGACGTATCTTAGAATTAGATCCTATCAACACTGTAACTTACGTCACACGGTGTTACAACCCGTGTAACAGGTGTGGTGAGTTAGAGCATATTTTCCCTAGAAATGTGTTTCTAGAGCTACGCTTTTATGGCTTCTTTGCCTTTTCAGGAAGAAAAGGTTCTACTAACTTCATTCAAGCCCTTTGCCTTGTGCCTTTTGTCCATTAGATTCAATGACCGGCTGTTTAATCAATGCTTAAAACAACCCTGGCAGAGTCAGTCCACAGCTGTTCCTTTCTAAGGGAGGTTCCTGAAAGAGGAATTCTAGTGAGGGAACATGAACACTGAAGTGTACATTAACATGTTGATGCAGCAATAGCTTGTTTGGGTTTATATTTCTGGCTGTCCCATGATGCCTTTTCCTATGTTGCCATGTACTGGCGTTTGTATTCAGGGAAATAGGGGTCTTGACTTTGAAACAGTGAGCCAGCTTGGCATTTCTACTCTGGCCCTTGTCTAACGCTGTAGGTGGTGTTTCCAACTTTTAGTGTTTCATTACTGTTTCCCATTCTTCTGGGCCAACCAGTAGCCTGAAGTTATATTCTGTGATGGCAGATCTTAACAGTTTGTAGCAGTATTTTTGGTACCCTTAATACTCAAGAAGCCGTAGTATTTAAAAAGAAGTTTTATTCATTTTCAAGGAAACCCTCTTTAACATATGTATGTTTATTCACTTAAAAATAAGAAAATATCCTCTGTGCCCATCATTCCCAAGCCCAGACACAGACGCACAAGCATTACAAGTTTCAGGGTTGGGCTATAAGGCAAGAAGATCCTTATAAAAATAGAGAGACAGAGGGGGATGGATGTCCCATAGTAACATAAATAACATTTTAAACCAGGAGTGTTTCCCACCTACCAAAGTTTTAATAGGAAGATTGCATTGTTTGCAGCCTTGCAGACCTTTAATGTCTTACTTGCTAAAATACAGGTTGGTCCACACTTACCTACTCTTTTGCAGTAAAATATTTTGCTTGAAATGAAGAAAGAAAGTTTGTCCTCACAGATACACAGTTGAAAAAGAAGTTTTTTTTTTTTTTTTTTTTTTTTTTTTTTTTTTTAATGTGTCTGGGTGTTTTGTCTGCATATATACATGTGCGCTGTATATTGACTGGTACCCGGGGAATTCGGAAGAGGGCATTGGGTCCCCTGGGACTGGAGCTAAGGGTAGTAGTGAGCCACCATGTGGGAGCTAGGAACCCAATCCGGGTTCTCTCCAAGAGCAGCCAGAGCTCTGACCACTGACCCATTGCTCCAGCCCCAAAAGACAGTTGTGGGTGTTTTTATTTGATCCTTCTCCAAAACTGAACAAATCATGGTTTCTTTTTGTTTTTTTGTTTTTTTAAGACAGGGTTACTCTGTGTAACCCTGGGTGACTTGGAACTTACTCTATAGACCAGGCTGCCCTTGAACTCAGGGAGATCCGCCTTCCTTTGCCTCCCAAGCGCTGGGATTAAAGGCATGCGCCACCACACCTGGCAAATAATGGTTTCTTCAAAGCTAGTTTGTAGTGTGGAATCCACACTGAACCTGTGAGCCTTCAGAAATGTAGTCTGTCTAGATTAATCTGTCCATCTTTGAATGAGATTTGTTTTTGCTTGTATATAATTTTTAGCATTTATTGGTCATTTGAAAATGACATGACTATTGAGTGAAATAGCTCTCCAGGTCCTGATGCAAGCGTCGCATGGCACTTTGCAAATGTGTTCACCGTCTCAGATGAGTTGTTAACTGTGCTGTACCAAGAAGCTGCCACACTCATTGTTGTGGGTACAAGTTTTTCCACATTCTGTTTTTGCTTGCAATTTTGAATTTTGTTTCTGAGAGCTTTTGCCATGTTTCCTGTGAAGTGATAACTCACTTTCTTATGTTGAAAAATGTCTGTTAAGTGACACATCTGGATAGTCTTGTACTTTCTTCACCATTCGATGTAACTGTGGTTTTTCGGGGGAAAACCACCAGTTCAGCTTGTCATCGAGATCACTGCACAAACCTTCCCTCCAGACAGCACTTCAGAGTAGGTGTGGTGCCCTCTGTCTCATTGTCTCATTGTGTACTTAGGACGCTAACATGGCCTGCACCCAAGATGAGAATCCAGACTTTTAGCTTGCCGCTCCTTCTGGGCATTTTAGAGGGACGAATTAGCAGATGGATTTCACATATGTGACAGTGAAGGCTAGGTACTGTTTGGGGCCACTACCTTGGTTCCTACTCAGCCACCAACCTTTGGCGGCCATGCTTTTGCACGGCCAGTGCAGGTATCCTCATGGTGAGAAACAGCAGTCAGCAGTTTGGTATTAGGATAGTTCTGACTTGGAAAACTGAGTGAGCCTTTGGTTCTGCTGACCCCATTTGGGAAATTGACCTTCCCTGGACCACAGAACCTCTGGCCTTTTCCCTGAGGAAGAGGTTGCTTGATTGTGCACTTGGGAGAGCTGTATGCACTCTATTCTTGTCATCTGGTCAATTTTTGTGTGCAGTACATTCATAGATGTCTTTTTACACTCTGTAATGAAACATGAATGAGGAGAAAGCTGTTATGTTGCTATGTTCAGAAGGTATGAAAGAAGAAAATAAAAACTTTAACTGTAAATCTGTGTTACCTAGTTGATCATTATTTAATAGTTTTTTTCCCAGAGATTTTTCTTACAGAGGTGAGATTTATCTTCTAGTTTCTCCCTTGCTCTTATTTTTTTAAGTATAAAATATTAAAAATGTTTTATTTTGTTTTCTTCAGCACAAAACGTGTGGACCATTCAAATACCAGATTGGCTTCTCAGCTTGATAGAAATCCAGGTAATAGTCCTACCTGTAAAGAAGCAAGTCAGAGGATTTGGTTTGTTTGTATGTTTCTATAATATGCTCATAAGCGCTCACACACACATTCACACATTCTTCACTTCACTTCACTTCCACCTATGATAAATTATCTAAAAATAGTTCTGTTTTCTTCTGTTTGAGACAGGATCTCTCTGTAGCCCATCCTGGCTTCAAACAGAACAAATGTGATATAGAAGGAGACTATTCTCCTTCCTCAGTCTCCTGAGGGCTTGGGTTACAGGCACAAACAAATGATCTGTTTTTAAAAATCAGATTTTTTTTTAACTTTAGTAAAGTACATTATATATGATTTAGAGCATATCTGGTATATGCACTCATCCTTGATAAAATGTATCTTAAGAATGCCAATAGAAATTTTAAGTGTGCCATTCAAGGATGGCCCTTATGTAAGCTAAGTAGAAACCAGACAAAAACTAGATAAGAATGTTGAGTGTACCATCGTGTATCCTTACACCTCCCCCCCCCCAGGTTAGATAAATATTACAATTTAATTTTATTTGATTAATTGTGTGCATGGATGTCAGGGGGTTCTAATTTCTACCCACAAGGAGGTTTCAGTGGGTAGATTTTGGTGGTATCGTCTAAAATTTGATTCTTAGTTTATTTGGAAAATCTCATTTTATCACCCTATTCCTGGGAACCTTGGTGCTTCAACCAAGTGAGACTAATGAATCAGTTAATTGGCTCAGGAAACTATTAATTAAGTCCTCAAACAAACATTACTCCCAAATGGACTAGAATATGTTTCCATTTAACTGATAACATTCTTCAAAGGCTCTGTCCATCTGAGAAACCAAAGTCTTAAGAATAAATTGACTGTTATAAAATTGCGTTAGGGAGAGCTGTTCACTCAACATTAATCACTCACGGTCCTCCAGCACATGCTCAGTCAGGCTTAGAATTCTCAGGTGCTGATAACCCCAGGACAAGGTCCTGAGGAAGAAACCCGCATACCTGTTTAATGGACAGACATACAAGTAGAGTTGATGAGACTCTCATTTCCCCTCATTGTCTTAATGTGTAGTTAGTATGAGGTTAAAATAACTCCCAAGCCTGGAATATTTGCCTTTCTCCAGTGCTTTGACTGCAGCGTAGCGGATGCTGCTGTGGATGGGATGCTTGCGGAAGCGGATTTCTATCTCATGAGGTTCTTTATAATGCTTTTCTTCCTGTGTAACCTCATGGCCAGTTCTGTAGATGCAGCTCTGTCTGCAGGTACAGTTCATTCACTTCTGCCTCATAGGAGACTTTCCAGTACTTCAGTTTTGACTCACTTCTCTTTGTTTCAGAATTGTTTGTTAAAATCCTACATAATCTTGCCAACTTCCCTTACAAATCATCGTTTTGTTTTTGTGAATTCTGTATCCGGTGTATTTTTAATGGAAAGGCATATTTCATTAAATGGTAGTACAGTGCGAGAGTGTGTGGGCTGTATCCCTTCAGGTTCCTGCATTGCACAAATGGGAACCCTCAGGGAAATATTGAGACTTCTAACTCTCTCAAGATTTATTTTTAATCGTGTATGTGTCTGTCTGCCTGTCTGGGGGTCGGGGGTGGGGTCAAGTGCACATACATGCAGATGCTTGCGTATGCCAGGAGGAGGAATTCCTAGAGCTGGCATTAACAGAGGTTTGTGAGCTGCCTGCTGTTAGTACTTGGAACAAAACTAGGTCCTCTGTAAGAACCCCTCATGTTGTTAACTCCTGAGCCATCTCTACAGCCCCTTGACTTCAAAATCTTTATTCTGAAGCTTTACTCATGATTTTGTGTGTATTGAGTTTTCAATGCCATAATAAAATGCCCAAGGTAAGCAGCCTCAAAGGAGCATGGATGTACTCTGCTTGGTTTTAGAGGCATTAAGTCTCTGGTTGCCCAAGACCATGGGGCTATGTGTTGTGGGATTGTGTTGAGGCAGAACTTGAAGACCGGGAGCACATGACAGCAAAACTGCTCATGCCAGGGTGCCAGTGCACTCTTCACAGCCATGTCCCCTGGCTATACTTCCTTCTACTCAGCGCCTCCTTCTCCTGTTTCCACCACCTCCCAGTAATGCCACCAGCTGGGCATGAGTCTTTGGGGGACATTTTGCATCCAAACCATAGCACTGTTTTGTTTTTATATACACTGTTTTTATGTAGGTGTATGGTGTGTATTTTTTTTCTTGTCAAATAAATGGAAACATGGCCATAAGAGGAATTTAGTTTTAGGTTGTTCATTTGTATAAACTCACTGTAACCCAGGCTGGCTCCAAATTTGTGGCAGTCTTCCTGCCTCTGCTCTTGAGTGCTGGGATTGTAGCCTACATTATGATGTCTCTCTAGTGCCAATATTTTTAATGATCTTTTTCATCAGTACAATAGGTATTTAAAGTGAGATAAACTTTCCTTAAACTCTCTTCTTACAGGATCAGATGACAACAATCTGAATTCTATCTTCTATGAACATCTAACCAGATCCCTCCAGCACAGTCTTTGTGGTGATTTGCTGCTAGGACGGTGGGGAAACTACAGTACTGGGGACTGTTTCATCCTTGCCTCTGACTATCTCAATGCGTTAGTACACCTCATAGAGATAGGCAATGGCCTGGTCACTTTCCAGCTGCGGGGACTCGAATTCAGAGGTAAGACATTCATTCACCTTGTGGCCATAGAGCACCTGTAGATAAGTTTTGTACATTTAAATACCAAATGAAGAGTTTCAGAACCGCCAAGTGGAGGATGGCTCAGCCTTTAAGAGCATTTGCTGCTCATCCAGAGGAACCAGGTTCTGCTCCCTGCATCCAGATCAAGTGGCTCACAGCTCCAGTTCCAGGGGATCTGACACCCTCTGCTGGCCTCTGAGGACACCTGCATGCCTATGTAGTACACAGACATATACTTAGGGACACAAACATATGCATAACAAATAAGTCTTGAAAAAAATTACAAAATTAGATCCTTGGGATCATTGCCCTTCCCACCAGCCCTCTGCAATTGTATGTGCTGACAAGCCGATACATTCTGCACAGAAAATGATACATTCAGATGAATGTACCTCCTGATGCATACTAATATACAGATTTAATATAAATGACCTTCAGACAGAAGAAACATCAGAAACTATTTAATGCATTCATATCTTTCTTCCTGTGTCCTCTTAAGAAACAAGAATTCTCTGTGCCCTAGTCTCAGAAAATATCAACTTGAGTTATTAAATCCAAAATAATTAGTTATACCCATGAGTAGAAGCTTTTTTATGGAGATTTCAAGTCCTGTTGTTGAATATATTTCTGATCAGGAATATTCAGTGGCCCTTTCTGGAGAATTTTAGCCTTTCTAAGAAGTTACTTTGAGTGTTTCTAGTTTGGAATGGGAAACAAGGAAGCATTTTCTTGGAAAAAGAGACAAGCCAATCAAAGGATGGCTTCTCTTGTCAAGTTGACTAGCTGGAGTGCCAGGAGATTAGCAAGCCATGTTTCTGCTGTGCTGGTGAGGTGTTCCATGGACTCATCTAGCGGAAGACCTGCCCTGACAGGGCAGTATCCTTCTGCTGTTTGTTTGTGATCAGTGCACACTTTTAGGAGATGAACATTCACTCATTTGGCCTTCACTTGGTACTGATGCAGTTGGAAATTGGAAATCTGTTTAGGCAGAATTGAAGAGTTACTTTATGGCACAAATTCCCACGCCTTCAGTATGCTAACGCATGTTGTGAGTCTAATGAATGGAGAGTTAGCCTGACTTCTGGAGTTTGCTACAGTCTGGTGATGAATATTCTAAGGCAAATCAATCACGTATTCTAAAGTGCTGTAAAATGTGTCTTTTCTAAATTGTTTGTGCTAAGTATACCTTCATTTTTCCAGTTGCTGGCTTTTTGCCCTTGTCTCTAATGGTCTTGTCTTTTTCTAAGGCACCTACTGTCAGCAGCGGGAAGTAGAAGCCATCACAGAAGGTGTAGAAGAAGATGAAGGGTTTTGCTGCTGTGAGCCTGGCCATGTTCCTCACGTGCTTTCCTTTAACGCTGCATTTGGCCAGCGCTGGCTGGCGTGGGAAGTGGTCGTCACCAAGTATATTCTGGAGGGCTACAGCATCACTGACAACAGTGCTGCTTCCATGCTTCAAGTCTTTGATCTCCGCAGAGTGCTTACCACTTACTATGTCAAGGTGAGGGGTGCGCCTGCTTAGGCGTCTGAGCAGCAGACGGGAGGTTTCTTGGGAGAGACCGGCACAGGCACATGCATGCACATACACAAACACCGACACGTACTCATGTAGGTGGACATGCCCATATACATATATACACATGCATGTAACACACCTGCACATTTTTATTCATTCTTTTTTTTTTTTCAATGCTAATAGTATGTGCTTACAAAGATCAAGCCCAGAACTAGGTAAGCAATCGACTCCTGACCTACATTACTAGCCTCTCAAATTTGTGTTTGGCTTCTGAATAATGATTTGAATTTTTTAGTATCCAGAGAGGCCAGTTAAAATATACCTGTGGGAAAAATAATAACACTTCCCCGCCCCATGAAGTTCTTGCTATTTCCTGGCCCATGTCTCCGTTGCCATTAATAGCTGGCACTCGTGGTTTATGGGTCAGGACTGATGAGTACTCGCACACATGCACACATAAACATGGCTCCTAAGGCACTTAAGTCTACAGTCAGGTAGAGTTGGCAGGTGTTCCAGAATTCCTGCAGGTCATGGGGAGACTGTTACACTGACGCTCTACCCGTGATGAACAAAGACCAGGCCTGAGGGCAAAGCCAGGCCCTTCAGCGGCCAAAATTAATCCTTTATAAGTGAAGCCAGATTTTTGTTACTGCTTTGTTTGGAGACTGAGTATTTTTTGGTGTATATTTTTATCTGTTTTATTGGGGTTCTTATAACTCTCCCTCCCTTGTTTACCTACCCCAATCCTTTCCAACACCAGGTAGAAGCGTAAGAAAGTAACTGAAGGGATGTAGTTCTCTTAGGCTGCTGGTTGGGTCATCGGGTTCCTTGGGGCAAGTCCAATCTTTGTTTCAGGATATCTCCAATTTCTTCTTTTCATCAAACTGCAACAGCGACCAGGAGCACCCGGGAGAAGCAGCTATCCTCTTCTTTACAAACCCCTGTCTGTGTGTACTCTGGCATTTATTCCCTCTCCAGAGTCCTCAGAATTAAACTCTCTGCAGCTGACAAAGATCATGCCCCTCTCAGAGCCCGCATGAGTCAAATAGTCTGCTGCTGTGGGCGGTCTGAAACAGCCCTATATCCTACACCTGAGGGTAAAACAAAAACATGTTTATATAACATAACTGAGTTTTTAAAAGAAACTAAAACTCCCACTACAAGTATTACCGTATCGCCCTAACTGCCCCAGAACTGCCCCCCAGAACAGGCTAGCCTGGAATTCTCAGAGACCCACCTGCCTCTGTCTCTCTGGGATTAAAGGCATTTCAGCAGGCCCATCAAGGTCATTATTTTTAAGAAAGGGGTCAGCCATAATCCGTACATCTGATATTTAACATTGCTAACACTAATTCTTTGTGCTGGTTTTGATAAATCCTGAGCCTTCCATTTGGTTAAACCCGGAAAACTAAAGCAGTTTGATTTACACTTTCTTAACCTGTGTTTGTGTGGTATGCTCCTCGCCGCACCCACCATGTTTGTGTGTCTGTGCGTGTATGTATCTGTGTGTGTATGTGCTTGTGAATGTGTCTCCTTTTGTTTGTGTTCTTTATTTCTGTCATTTGGCCTATGAACAACAAAAGATTTAATAAGTTTATGAGAAAATTTTCAAAATAAATGTTGTATAGTAATTTTTAACTCTCTAAAAATATTCTGAGCCAAGTGGTGATGGTGCACACCTTTAATCCCAGCACTCAGGAGACAGGCTGGTGGATCTCCGTGAGTTTAAGACCAGTGTAGTCTATGTAGTGAGCTCCATGACAGCCAGGGTGAGGGAAACCCTGTCCTGAAAAACCAGTGAATGGAAAGAAGGAAGGTAGGTAGGGAGGGAGCCTAAATTCAAAAGCACAGGAATTAATAGTCTATAAGTTGCCTTTTTTAATTCATAGTTGTGATTTAAAAGTACTAGATGATGTTTTCATTTAGGATAGCTTCAAGTAGCTTTCTTAAAATGTAGGTGTAGGACACTTGAGATAAAGTAAAATATTTTGAACTATATTATCTGGGAGCAGTTGTTCATTTAGGTGAGCAGTTGGAGTAAGTTTGCATCGCGACTTGACTTGGATTCCCTGTGTTTTCTTACCTAGGGCATCATTTATTATGTTACAACGTCCTCTAAGTTAGAGGAATGGCTTGCCAACGAGACGATGCAGGAGGGACTGCGTCTGTGTGCAGACCGAAATTACGTTGATGTGGACCCAACTTTCAACCCAAACATCGACGAGGACTATGACCATCGGCTGGCAGGCATATCTCGGGAGAGTTTCTGTGTGATTTACCTCAGCTGGATAGAGTACTGCTCTTCCCGGAGAGCAAAGGTAGTTCAGTTCCTGTCCTTTGCAGTTCTGTGAATCTAGGTTTTAACAAAAAGCGGGGAAATATCCTGTTAGTCATTGTGAGTCCGCTTTTCCTGCACTTCCTCCCAGATCCTCTGGGTTAGACAGCATGTCTGCGTCGTAATGTTCCGAACAAGCCACGTCTGCCCAGGCAGCTGAAGGAGAGTAGTCCTCCTTCACTTTGCAGCAAACTGACTGTCCGGGCAGCATGCATACACAAGTTGTGGTTCCATACAGTACTCCCCGAAGTCTAGTCCGTAAGCACTGTCCACCATCTGTAACTATGTCTGTCCATGTCTGGACCATGCTGTCTGCAAGACAGTCCTGGGTGTGTCCTCTGCAGTCCAGTATCACGTTGGCTTTAACACTTGAAGGCGTCCTTCTGCATCTTGCTTAGCTGTAATCACTGTAAGTAGCCTGTGGACTACTGTTGGACCAGCCTCATCAAGGACCTTCAGTGTGAATGTAGTTAATTCTGCACTTTGGATGTAAAGATGTTTAGGTCTCTCCAAAAAAAATTCTGATTTAGTACCTCTAGACCACAGATGTCTCCCTGGTGGTTTTAATTCAGGTCTTTACCCCTTTACTCCTGCGCACATTAGGACACCCTGTCCTGAAGGAAAATGAATCACAGACTTTCCCACTGCTGTTTGTTCTAGGCCTGTAGCGCTGTCATGCCAGACTAGCGAAACCATAGATCCCAAGTGCGTGGCCAGGGCTCACTGCCATCAACATTGTGGCTTCTCAGGGAGGCTGGAGCTAAGCACCCAGCACCTGGTTTACTTGGTACCCTGGAGTTAGTGAGCCCTCTTGACAGCCAGAGCCTGGAGGGTTACCAGACCCGGTAGCCCTTCCTTTCCAGCCACTTCGGGCATCCTGTCATAGTAGCATCTTTCCATCAGCCAAAATGGGGTGTGTTTGTGCTTCCTCTGTTAGTGGTAGCCGATGGGCAACATATGCTGATCAAAAGTGCATGCTTTAAAGAAGAAATAATAGGATAAAATACCATTCTAAGGTTGGGTGTGTCAGGGACACTTGAGAGTGATGGGCCTCAAAATTTAACTTTCTTCAAAACATGTAACAGGCAGGTGATTGTTTGGTTTCTCATGTGAGGTATACTTAAGGTCTTTGCATAATGCTTCAGATGTGAGGGATAATTGAGGCATGTGGACATGTTCTAGTGTCCCTTTTCTGGGCTTAGGTAGTGTTGAAGTAGACTATCTTCTCACTCAGAAATGGCCTCCATCGTCAGCCTAAGTGCTTTTCTCTCAGAGGTTCCTGGAAGGTTGGACATATCTTGAGGAAGTCCTCCTGCATGCCCTTACATATATTCAAACGGCTCACCTTCGGGGTTGGGAAGACAGCTCAGCAGTTAGAGAGGGCCTGAGTTCCATTCCTAGCACACACATGGTGACACACAACCATCTATAGTTCCAGGCACCCAGCACCCTCTCCTGGCCTCCTTAAGCATGCATGTAGTACATATATATTTGCAGGCAAAATGCTCTTACACATTAATACTTTTTTGAGGCCCACATCCAATCTGGGAATCCCCAGTCCCTTCAGACAGCTTATCACACACTCAGCCCTGGCTATATTCTACTTGTTGCGGTCGCTTTAGTGGTATTTTTCCAATCACATACTCTCCCTTCTGCTATAGTTTTTCTATAATCAAATCAGAATCATCCTCATCTCCTTAAGAGCAAGCATTCTGCTCCCATAAATCCCTTTCCCAGAAGGACCTCTTCCTAAGAAAGCACTCTAAACTGTGGAGATTCACCAACTCCAAGCCCTGTGACACTCACCAGTCTAGTGGCCCTCTGCCTCATACTCTCCAGTGTCCCTCCAAGGCAGTTACATTAGATAAATGAGATGGATGGATGGATGGATGATAAACAGACAGACAGATAGAAAGCCTCTTCCTTCTCTAATTGTAAAGTTCAGCTCTTTCTTTATCTGTCTCTGACTTATTGATTGGGTATTTTCTGATTTGTTAAATACTTATGTAGCTTTCTGATATCTAATATTCTTTGTTTTTAAAGCCGCTAGATGTGGATAAAGATTCGTCCCTGGTGACTCTTTGTTATGGACTTTGTGTTCTGGGACGGAGAGCTTTGGGAACGGCCTCCCACCACATGTCCAGGTAAAGAAGTATCTCTTCTCAAGAAGAAGGTATTGGGGGCCAGGGGTAGTGGCACTGGAAAGATGTTCAGTGGTTAAGAGTGCTGACTACTCAGCCAGAAGACCTGAGTTCAGTTCCCAGCCCACATGGTGGTTCACAAACATCAACAACTCCAGTTTCAGGGGCTCTGATGCCCTCTATGAGCACCAGCCAGGCAAGTCATGCCTAGACACACATAAGCATGCAATAAAAGAAAACAGAAGAAAGAGAGCTTGGGAAGCTCTAAGTGTGTTTTGTCTGGTTAGTTGATTGTTTTCTTGGGTTTGTTTTTTTGTTTGTTTTGGTTTTGTTTTGTTTTTTTGACACTCATTTTGTGCTATTTTACAATCACTTTGTAAGATTTCCTTAGTCTCTGCACATTTACATTTTCTTATCTATTTTTCTAACATATTTCTCTGGCTTATTTTTCTACATTTCTTCATAATGTTTGTCTAGATCATTTATATTTTTAATGTGGTGTGTATTTGAAATAGATAATTCCTATCTTAAATTTCTTCTGATTACATGTTTTACATTAGACTTGCCCTAATTTCCCTCGCTCTGTAGGCTCTCAGCCTGTCTTATAGGCTGTTACCATGGGTCACAAGCAAAGTTCCTAGTCACTTAGGAGTTCAGGCTTCAGTGTCTGGATTCTACTTTCGAAGCATTCTAGACCTGTGGTTTTCAACCTTCCTCATGCTGAGGTCCTTTAATAGAGTTTTTCATGTCACGGTGACCCCCAACCATAAAATTATTTTGTTGCTACTTCATAACTATAATTTTGCTAGTGTTCTGAATCATAATGCAAGTATCTGATAAGAAGATACCTAATATGCATCCCCCGGGTTGGGAATCACTCCTCTAGATGGTTCTGATGTAGAGCAGACGTAAGATTCAGTGCTGTGAAGACCCTTGTCAGAGTATGTGTCCTTTATCTCCAACCTTACAGTAACCTGGAGTCCTTTCTCTATGGATTGCACGCCCTGTTTAAAGGGGACTTCCGGATTTCTTCAGTCCGAGACGAGTGGATCTTTGCTGACATGGAGCTGCTGAGAAAAGTTGTCGTGCCTGGAATCCGCATGTCCATTAAACTCCATCAGGTAAGAGATGTTTTAATTCATTTCCAGTTTGCTGACAATTTGTCTTCTGATTTCCATGTTATGTCTTGGGGACCTTTGAAAAAGCTGTCATCTGAACCACAGAAAAACCTTACTTCTAGCAAGGCACTAGGTCCCGGAAGCCTGAACCTGTGTTTCTCATAGTAACAGTAGTAGTGAGTTGTAATATTGATAACTGTTAATATTCCTGATCTAGGCTACAGCAGCAAACTGAAAAGAAAGGTCTGTACCCCTGAAATGCTTGCTGGACTTCATGTGATTGCCATTTTCCTGTCCCTTTCCACGGTGAACACCTGACAGCTGCTAGTGCCACGTGACCCTCAGGAGGTGCTGGGCTACTGCCTTCTGCTCACTGTGCTCCCGAGTGGCAGGCTGTCAGGGCAAGCTCAGAGACGAACACCTACCAGGGAAGTGGAGCTGTTGGCCCCAACGTGTATTTCCAAAGCCCTAGACCATTTGAAGAGTAGACCGTGTCCTTCTGTCCTGGCACTTGCCCTCTGTTTGTGCCACTCAGGTGTACAGATCTGATGGTGACAGCCACATGGTAAATGCACCCATTATGCCCAAAGCTAATTGGATTTCTGGCCCCAAATAAAAAGTGAAGTGCTCCTCACGTGAGGTTAAGCCTGAGAATAAGGCTAAATTCCCTTGTTCTTGGGGACCATTGCCAGTAAGAGACGAGTTACTAAAAATGGATTACTGGTTTGAAAATCATGGGGGAAAGACTCTTGGGATCCAGTGTGATTGTCCTTGTTCAGACCAGCTTTAGAGTTTTGAGACAAAATTCAGTACATTTAAAAGAAATGACAATGACCAGGTCAATTGTGGGTGGGGACTACCGAGGGGACTAAACCTGGAGCTACATGCACTCCAGACAAGTGCTCTGCCACTAAGCTGTGTCCTCAGCCCTCTGTCTGAGAGAGACAGACAGAAAATCTTGTTAGATTGTCCAGCCTGGGTTTGAACTAATTGTGGAGCCCAGGCAGTTCTTATATTTTTGGTTCCTCTTTCTCAGCTTCCTGAGTAGCTTACACACAAAACCTCAACATGAAAACTTCAGATTTTCTATAGTTTAAGCCAGTGAGAATAAGTGTCTGAGCAAGATTAAAATCTACAGTTAGGATGCCTGCTAAGTTTGTGTCTGTTTTATCAGCAATGTGTCTACTTCTGTGTCAGAGCTTTCTTCCTGATCTGAGTAACTGTACTGACACTAGTGGCAGAGCTGGATGGAGGGCTCCTCCCCAAGCCAGCACTGTATGACTGCCTTGCCTGTTGTCCAGGAAAGCTGGTTCGTAACAGAAAGCTTAGCACTGTTACACAGTGTGTGGTTAGGTTGGTTACAGAAGTTATCCAGCAGGTTCTGAAGAAGCAGTTGGGGGTCCAGCATTCTTAAGTAGCAAATGAATCCATGGGACTAGAGAGATAAGATTCATGCTGCTCTGTTGTTCTCCTTGTGGAGCTCGTGTCCCCTCCAGGTCTTTCTATTTCTCTCTTCTTCCATAATGTTTCCGGCACTCTGCCCAAAGTTTAGCTATGAGTCTCAGTATCTTCCTAGATACCTGGGGGGTAGAGTCTTTCAGAGGTCCTCTGAGGAAGGCTCCTGTCCTGTTCCTTTTCTTCTACTTCCAATATCTATCCTGTTTGCCATACTAAATGAGGATTAAGCATCTTCTATAGGGCCTGCCTTGTTTTTTAGCTTCTTTGGGGCTATAGATTTTAGTATGTTTATCCTGTATTATATGGTTAATATCCACTTAGAACTGAGTATATATCATATGTGTTTTCCCGCTTCTGGGTTACCTCACTCAGCATTGATGAGACCTGATAAGCTAGGGTCAGATAGAAGGGGAGGAGGTCCTCCCCTATCAGGGGACTAGGGAAATGCCATAAGGGGAGAGGAGGGAGGGTGAGTGGGACAGGGAGGAGACGAGGCAGGGAGCTGCAGCGGGGATACAAAGTGAAGAAATTGTTTATTTTTTTTAAGTATATAAATAAACTTAAATTTTAAAAAGAAAAAGAAAAATTTAATTATTTAAAAATAAATAAATAAAAGAAAGTTACTTTGGCAAAAAAAAAAAAAACAAGAATTCATACTGCTCTTTGCAGAGGACCCAAGTTCACACCCCAGCACCCACATCAGGCATCTCACAACTGTCTGCAACTCCAGCTCCAGAGGACCTGATATCCATAGTCACCTGCACGTACTATACACAAACAAACATACATACATGGTTATATATAATTAAAAATAAAATGAATAGAAATAAGAATTGAGACTTAATAAAATGTTCATTGACGAGAAGAACCCATGTGAACTTTGAACCTGGGAAGCAGCTCTGCACCCCAGTCGAGCTTCCGACTTCGCACATGTGAAAGTCAGGTGCTAGTGAGGCTCCTTAGCAGATGAGTGCAGCGGTGAACCACAGGGCTCTGTAGGGCTTCATCACCTGCGTGCACAGCATTCTTCCTGTAGATCCACGGCAGACTCAGTGGTATCCTGTGGACTGGCGTCTCAGTCTTACTCTTCCCCCTCATGCAGGGGCATGAGCAGAAGTTGCTGCGGTTGAGCTGGGATGAGTCACTTTGCCTGAATACAGACCTATATCGGCCTTCTAGCTACTTGCCAAAGGAACCAATAAGATATTTGTGTTTCCTCAATAACATGCGATTTCTGACGTTTAGATCTGAGCTATGATTACTTTTTTGTTTGTCTTATATTGCCTTTTAACATGGAGGTTTTAAAAGGGACACAAACTCCCTTTGTTTCATCCATGCTTCCTGCCTCAGTCTGCAGACAGTCGATGACAAATGTCCATCATATGGCTGAGTGGTTGCTGAGACAAAGATGCTCTTCTGAGTGGGCTGGGATGGCTAAGCCACGTACAGTCGCATCCAGAGGAGGAGAAGGGCGGGATAAGTGGCATATTGTAGCTGTTGCACATGTGTAGCTTTATGGAAACTGTGCGTGGCTTCTAAGAACCCAACACAGAGGCCTTCTGTAAAGCTCTTCCTTGTAATAGTGAAGTCAAAGAAAACTGTGTGTGCAAGGCTCAGCATGATGGCCAGTGGGTGAAGGCACTTGTTGCCCAAACCTGGAGATATGAGTTCAGCCCCCAGAACCTATGTAAAAGTGGAAGGAGAGAACCAACTCCACAAAGTTGTTCTATGAGCAAGACACACATACATACCATGCACAAACAAGAGTAAATTTTATGCACGTGTGAGTGAATGTGTGAAGACTACCTTGAGAGAGATAAAAAGGCAATCTGTTAAACTTGGAAAGGATGCTTAGTTACCTAGCTTTGAGGGTGGAGTTGGTTAAAGAGTTTAGAACAAGAGTTTGTATGGGAAGTGCCAGCTGTCTTAATGACCCTCACACACATCATTTTTTTACTCACTGTCACAAATTAAAGAAGAGCTTTACCAAAGGCCTCTATATTGTGTTCTTTAGAAGCTGACAGTATCAATTAGTAGAACAGTAATGAGCATATCCATAATAGCATCCATATGTATAGTAGAAAATTAAACCCATTTGTAAGAACTTTCGCTTATCATCTTGGAAGTTATTTTCTTTTTCTCCAAAACAAAAAAATCATACTTGGCATTTCTGTGTTTAGGATCATTTCACTTCTCCAGATGAGTATGACGACCCCACCGTGCTCTATGAAGCCATCGTGTCTCATGAAAAGAACCTTGTGATAGCCCACGAAGGCGACCCTGCATGGCGGAGCGCAGTCCTTGCCAACTCTCCCTCCCTATTGGCTCTGCGGCACGTCATGGACGATGGCACCAATGAGTACAAGATCATCATGCTCAACCGCCGCTACCTGAGCTTCAGGGTCATTAAGGTGAGTCTCAGGGTCACCTCAATGTGACCACGGGAAGCTGAGGTTAGGCGTCTTGAGCCAGCCTCTGAAGTGTGATTGGCACTGCTTGCATTTAAAACTGAGCAGACGGCACACTCGTGGCCTATGAACACCCACTTCCTTAGCAGTCATACCCTCTTCCTGTGAGGTTTTCTCAGATGCTGTAAGCCTTTAATTTGTTTGCTGATTTCAGTGTTGGTGACCTTTTACCCATTTCATATGAAATCTGAGCAGTAGTCCTCCTGTAGAAGCCAGCACTCTGTTGCTAATGAGGTGCCCTCCTCAGTTAAAAGAGAATAACAGCATGTGCGTCACTGTGGTTCAGAGCTAACTGTAAATGATTTGTTCCATAAATTCTCTCTCACTCTCACTCATTTTGCACAATTGTGCATTTAAGTGAGTGTGTAAGTGTTGATGTATTTGTGCATGTGTGTATGAAAATGTTCTATGAGTTAGGAAGTTTAGTTTTTGAAATTTATAGTTTATAATGATTGACTTTAATCTTTAAACTCTTATTGAGTGTGGCTATCTATGCATGTGTGTGTACGCCATGTGCAGCGTTTATATGGAAGTCAAAGAACAGCTTTCAGGATTGGTTCTCTCCTTCTACCACCCCAGGTGGGTCGCAGGGATCAAGTCTCCAGGTTTGGCAGCAAATACCTTTATGGCTGACCTTGTCAGCCACCTATCTTGATCCTATCATTTAATCAACCCCAAAATACCACAAACATCCTCTCAACATGAAATATGTGTTGCCTGTCATTCCCATCAGAACTATCTATTGTGTAGTTCACTAGCGTGACAAAGGAAAGGGGCTGCATTTTACTTAGTATTTTTGGAAGGTGGAGCAAGAAAAAGCGAACTATAGGTGCTTATTAGCAGCCTGCTGTCCAGGAAGGGACATTTGTTAGCTCCTTTCAAAGGTGACTGTGTATTCACAGCTTTTCAGCCGGTCACTACACCAGGTGTCACCATTTCTTCATCCCTCAGGTGAATAAGGAGTGTGTCCGAGGCCTCTGGGCAGGGCAGCAGCAGGAGCTTGTGTTTCTCCGGAACCGGAACCCAGAGAGAGGCAGCATCCAGAATGCAAAGCAGGCGCTTCGGAACATGATCAACTCATCTTGTGACCAGCCTATTGGCTACCCGATCTTCGTGTCGCCTCTGACAACATCCTACTCTGACACCCATGACCAGCTCAAAGAAATTCTTGGGGGACCAATCAGCTTGGGAAATATCCGGAACTTCATAGTGTCCACCTGGCACAGGTAGTGGGGCTGTCTTTCAGTTTTGTTGTATCCTGGGCCTCTCTATCTCAGCATTGTATACCTGCTCACCAGGGAAGCTTGTAGAGAAAATGCAAGTGCCAGGGCACAGCACACACATACTCTTACCTGAACACCAGGAGGTAGAAACCAGCTCCTCATCTTCAGAAGCTGAGATAAACCTAATATCTGGCTCTGCCTAGCAGTGGTGCGGCTGGCATACGTGTGGGGATAAATAGAAAAAAAAAAAAAAAAGAATATGAGCTAGCGTCAGAGGCTCTTAATGTTCTAAGGACTAACCAGTGCTTAAAGAATCAGGTTTATTATCCTCTAACAGAACATAAGCCAGAATAGTGTTCATGGAGATTGTATTTTCAGAAAACCTTTGTTACCTGCACTGTCTAAAAGAAACTTAATTTCCTCCCTGGGAGAAATAGCATAAAGAATAGGTTATGGTTCGCCTGTGACCACAGGCATTCTTGGTGCAGGGGTCCAGCACAAACTGAGGTAATCATGCCAAGTCAGGGCAGCTCTTGGTCTCCATGTATTTAAACATGAAAAACCAAAACAGGAGGATGGTGGAGGCAGCTGTGTAGCAGCAGTACAGCAGTGGTATAGACAGACTGGGTCTCGGTTTGCTCAACAGATACTGGCAAGAATCCTGTTGCCAAAGCTCAGTGTGGTGGTTCACATCCGTAATCCCAGCATTCAGGGGACTGAGGCAGGAGAATTGCTAGGAGTTCAAGAATACATACTGAATTCTTGACCAGTCTACAGAATGAGGGCCTGTCTGAGATAACAAAGAAAGGGGGTTGGTTTTGTTTATTTGGGTTGTTTTGTTTTGTTGGTTTTTTGAGATAGGGTTTCTCTGTGTAGCCCTGACTGCCTTGGAACTCACTCTGTAGACCAGGCTGGCCTCAAACTCAGCAAAATGCCTGCCTCTGCCTCCCAACTGCTGGGATTAAAGGCATGCGCCACTACCACCCAGCCAAACAAAGATTCCCAATTTCAGCTGGGGTTCTAATGATACTGCTATGTTCTGCACAATTGGTTGTGCCAAATGGACAATGAGTGCGTGATCTGAAGTGGTGAGTAGGGCAGGGCTGGGCTTCCCCAGCCATTCTTGGGAAGCAGAATTGGTTCCTGATACTGGTTATACCATAAAGGCAGACATCAGCAATATTGAAGACTCAGAAGAGTGAAGAATGATTATGAAGTGATGGTGGGCTAATACTTCCTACTTTGCAATTCGTCTCCAGGCTAAGGAAAGGTTGTGGAGCTGGCTGCAACAGCGGTGGCAATATTGAAGATTCTGACACTGGAGGTGGGACTTCCTGTCCGGGTAACAATACAACCACTGCCGGTGATCCCCACGGCAGTGTGTCCCAGGGAAGCACTGGAAACCCAGGACAGGGAACAGGATCTGGACTCCACCCGCCCACCACACCATATCCTCCAACATTAGGTAACTGGAGACAAGTTCTGTGTCATGTTGACCCCTTAGCCATTGGGCCAGTGCGTGTGTGTGTGTAAAGGAAGAGAGTGTGTTGTTACTTGCTTAAGATCCAGCAGTGCATTCTGCCATTTGTTCTATCAGCGTTGATGCGCATGTGTAAATCTTGCACCTCACTTGTCTGTGGAGCACGCCTTTAATCCCAGCAGTCGGGAGACTGGGGCAGGCAGCTCTGAGCTTCCAAGTCGGCCTGATCAGCACCAGTGAGTGCCAGGACAGCCAGGGCTAGAGAGAGAGAGAGAGACCCTGTCTCAAAAAAACCAAATATATATTACATTTTAGAGCTAGTAACATTTAATTCTTGTATTTTATTTAACTTTTCTCCTGCAGTGCAGTAACTGTGCTTCTCCTGACATTACAATGCTATTTACGGGTAACCCTTTGTAATCACTTAGGACTCTTTTAGGCTGCATACTTTAAAAGTGGAACTAAGACTCTTGATCCCTAACACTGAGGACTGCAGCAAGTTTCTCTCAGGCAGGTGGTTCAGACGTCAGGCCTTCCACCCACGAGCCCTATCAGTCACCTCCCTCTGAAGTAAAGCAAGCTGCCAACAGCCATTTCTTTGGGCACTTTCTTCTTCCTTTATTTTTTCTGTGTGTGTATACATGTGCGGATGTATGTATGTGTGGAGGATGTTTTATATCTTCTCAGCAGTTTTCAGGCACACATCTTAGCGCTCACTGCAACCAACCTTGCTGCTCGCATCTCCAGAAGCTTCTTCCAGCCCCCCTGGGACTCTGCACCTCCCTGCCCTGCCCATTCTGTCCCAGCAGCTGCCATCCAACTCTTGGCCTCTGAGCTTGACTCTGACAAGATCATGCAGTGTTTCGCTATTTTTATTTTAGTGTGTGAGTGTTTGCCTGCATGTGTGTCTGTGCAGCACACGTGTGCAGTGCCTGTGGAGGGCAGAAGAGGGCGCCTGATGGCCTGGATGAGACTGGAGTTACAGATGGTTATGAGCCACCATGTGGAGTCTCAGACTTGAACCCAGGTCTCTGCAAAAGTAGCCAGTCTTCTTAACTGCTAAGCATCTCTTCAGCCCCGCGCAGTGTTTCTCAGTAAACATTTCTGACTCTTTTTCAAAGACAGTTTATCTCATTTTTTTATTCTTATTTTTCTAAAATATTTCTGTAAAAAAATATTTTAGAATTTATTATAACCTTAAATCCAGATATTTGCAGTGAATTGTTTGTTTTTTTTACACCGTATAATCTGAATTTTAAAAAGTTTTAAGAAATTTTTTAAAATGGTGTTATGGAAATCATATATATATCCCAGGTATTTATTTCTTTTTGGTAGCTGTAAAGGTTTTAGACGTAAATGGTCTATTTTATAAGTTTATGGAGTGATTGCTTAAGGAAGATGGTTGAAGAAAGCCCGGCACAGAGGCCTGGTGTGCCTGGTCTTCTGCTAATGAGTGCTGTCATTGCTTCTTGCCAGGCACCAGCCACAGCGCCCACTCAGTGCAGTCCAGCCTGGTTAGACAGTCCCCAGCACGGGCCTCCATGGCCAGCCAGTCTTCCTACTGCTACAGCAGCCGCCATTCGTCCCTCCGGATGTCCACCACGGGCTTTGTGCCATGTCGGCGCTCCTCCACCAGCCAGATATCACTTCGAAACTTGCCGTCATCCATCCAGTCCCGCCTCTCCATGGTGAACCAGATGGAAGCCGCCAGCCAGGGCGGCATGGGCTGTGTGCAGCACGGCCTGCCCTCCTCCAGCAGCTCGAGCCAAAGCATCCCAGCTTGCAAGCATCACACCCTTGTAGGCTTTCTTGGGGCCGAGGGTGGTCAGAGCGGTACCACTGAAGCCCAGCCAGGCAGCAGCTTAAGTCCTGCCAACATTTCACATGCCAGAAAGGGGGAAGTCGTTTACAGAGTCCAAGTGAGTAGGCCAAGAGATGTGTGCTGTGGCTTTTTTTTTTTTATGTCTCACTTGTTCAGTAGGGGACCCCTGTGAAAACTTGATGCATTTAGGTGTGGGGGACTAGAGCACTTTGGAGGATGGGGAAATGTTCTGCTGCCCGCTTAAAAACTCAAAGCACCAGTTTCTGTGCTTGCAGGGATGCTTGTTCCCGACATGGCACAGATACAGTCAATGCAGGAAGGTAGTCCAAAAGGAATTGGTTTGGAGCTGGGTAGGTTTTCTGTCTTTTTTTTTTTTTTTTTTTTTTTAATCTGAGTTCCACTGTAAGCAGTGGAGAGTTTAAAATGTGAAGAGTCCTACAAGAGAAGTTTTGTTTAGCCCTGTATTTTTCATCATGAAGGGAAAATATTAATTGGAGGTGGATCCTTGTGTCTCCGTTTAGATTGTGGATCTCAGTCAGATTCTCGAAGCGATTAACCTGTCGAAAAGGAAAGAGCTGCAGTGGCCTGATGAAGGAATTCGGTTAAAAGCTGGGAGGAACAGCTGGAAAGACTGGAGTCCTCAGGAGGGCATGGAAGGCCACGTAAGTTCTCCCGGGAAGCTGCTGTGTGCTTGAAGCCGTCAGGCTCAATGTGTGGTTTTAGCTGGTCTGTGTCTTCTGCCTGGGTTGTTAGCAGGACTACACAGGGGTGAGCGTACGGGTACACTCAGGGTCTAACTGCACATTTTTGTCTGGGTTAATAGGTGATTCACCGATGGGTGCCTTGCAGCAGAGACCCAGGTACCAGGTCCCACATCGACAAGACAGTGCTTCTGGTCCAGATTGACGATAAATACGTGACTATAATTGAAACTGGGGTACTAGAACTGGGGGCAGAAGTGTGAGCCCACGTTGCGCACCCGAGTTTCTTTCTCTGGCTTCCCAGCCTTTGGAGAGAAAGCAAAGTTGCTGAAGATCCGCCTACGGGGAGGCCTGCACTTCACAGCAAAGACTTGAACAGTGGCTTGGCTAAGCGCCTCTCCGCCCTGACTTTTGTCACTGTCTCCATCCCCAAATAAAGCTGAAATATTTTTTTAAGTTAGCTGCATGAAAGGCAAAGTTGTCTGTCAGAGCCTGTTTAGGAAAGGCTCTCTATGCATTTACGCTTTGACCCACGGACTCTTGCCTCTAATTCTGAGCTCATATTTTTCTAATTTCTTTGCCAAAAACAGTTGCCATGGTTTTTTGTTGTAGAAAATGAAATCCATTGACCATGATTTTTGCAAACAGACCCACGTGGAAGCATTCAGCTCAACATATAACAGTATGAAAGTTTAACGTACAGTGAGAAAAGATGATGCATAGATGTAGGTTTATCTTATTCCATGAACGCTAAAAACTTTAATGAAAACAAACTGCACTAATTTTTTACAGCAATGCACTAAATCTGAGATTTCTCAGAACATTTATTTATATATAAAAATAAATACCATTATTTAAATTGCCTTCAGGATTAGCCCCTCCCTTTCCTGACACATGTAGCCAGCAGGACCTGCTGCTCCTTTTCTGTCAGTGCACTGCACTGTGGAGCCACTCCTAGCTTCATCCCTGCCGTTTCCCAGCCCTGGGGACCAGTGGATCCTCCTGGCCAACGCCACTGCCAGCTGCCCCGTCACGTCTCCAGTGTGCCGCGTTTCTTCAGCGGGTGGCAGGCCCTGTTGAGGTTGCCTCTGGAACATGCTTTTGCTCTTCAAGAAGATGAAGGCCCAGGAACTCAAGAGAGGATCAGTTGCCTCTTGTCTGAAGAGTTCCTAGCTCTTGACATTTATTCACATGAAGTTCAGTTTCTCAAGTAAAATTTTTTCAAACAAAATTGTCATGTGGTGCGGTCCCTATTCTGTCGTCTTCAGTTCTGCACTCTGCTCCTTCCTGTTCTCTTTCTATCACTTGAAATTATTTCCTGTAATTTATGGTGTATTCCTGTCTTAAAATATTTATAACTGTGAAATTGACTCAATTCATATGTTGTCCCATAAATTATATTGTTTCTTTAAAGAGCATGTATCCAGGGAAATATGTACCTTGGATTTACAGCGCGGCTGCATGCAAACTGCAGTTTAGGTTTCACTTGCAACTTCAAGCATTTTTTTTTTTTAAATGCTTAAGATTCCCTTTGTTCTAAACTCCAAAGAAAATTGCCCATCTCCTCTAGCACCTGGGAACAGCTGTCTGTCTCCGCGTGGACAGACCCTAGAAAGAAACAGGTCAGTTCATTTTGATGCTTTGTGATAAATCTGTCCGAGCTGTGACCGTTCCATTGTGTGGCACTGGCCACTTTACCCGGTGGCTTCTGTGTGAGGCCACCTTGGTGGAGTGTCTTCTGAGGTGAGAGGAGAGAGCTGTTGTTCCCACTGGCTGGGGTACAGCTGTCATCGTGCGTCCTGACACTACAGGAAACAGGAGCGCTGGCAGCAGCAGACAGGAGTCTGTCCACAGTGATACTTCAAACCCTGTTTGTTTTCCCTGTATTGTTTTTAAATCTGTGTTCAGAACCCAATGTGCCTTGTATTGACGTTTCCATAGACTTCAAACTTTGCAGACTTTATTGTTTAAAAATATTTGACTTACTGAACCTTTACAAAGGAGCCCTTCTCTTTCTAAATTGACCACTTTAAAGTGTATTTCCCCCCGCTGCTGTTACTCTATTCCCTTCGCCCATTTGGACAAATCCGTGCTTCGCGGTGTGTTCAGTGGTGGATGTTCTTTCTGAAGCTAAATGCCTAATCTGTCTTGTCTGTGTTTGAAACTCCCTAGAGGAATTGTGCGCCCTGCTGCTTGTCTGTTCCCTGCTCAAAATGAGTTTGATCTTGTCATGGCCTCTCCTAGATGGAGAAGTAAGTGGAGGGTTGGCATTCTAAGATGGAAAAGCATCTATCTTGCACAGAGAAAGAGGCAGAAGATGAATCGGAGGGTCAGAATTCTGTTTCTGCCTAGTCCCCCAATAACTATTAGATGTTATATGCTCCGAAAGTAAAGATTCCCTCCTTAAGACGGATTCTGTATGGAACATGTATAGCGAGTCTGAATTTGGGAGAGTTGAACATTTTTCTTGGGACAAATTCACTGTTTGTTATCATATAGCTTTATTAAATTTATAAATTAGGAACCCTAAGAGAATTTTGTTTTTAGTTTTTTAATCTGAAACTGATGACCTAAAAAAAAATACCTTTTCTAATTACAGCAGGAAAGATAATGATAATTAAAGATTTGTGTTTTAAGATTCAATTTATCAGGTTTTGTTTTGTTTTGTTTTTCTCCCAGTACCTACCTGGATAGCAAGCTGGTATTTTAGATTTTCTGCTTAGACTTTCTCACTAAAGTACAGAACTCCAGCATACCTCAGTGCATTAGTCCCTAACTGCCAAAACTCAGAGTTCCTTAATTTTGCAAGTAATTAAAAACAAACTGTGTATTTCTTTAGGTAGTTGTATGACTGAAGTCTGTTTTTCTTCTTCAGTTTTCTTCTTTATCTTGCCCCATTTTAAGATGATAATACTGGAATGGCCTTATCATCTTCTTCAGTGACAAACAAACAAACAAACAAACCTTCTGTAGCCCTACACTAAGGTTTTGGTGAGTCTTTCAGCCCATATCTTGGTGGGAACTCTTTTTTTTTTTTTTTAACACCATTTTCAAGGGCCAATAAAACTTTGCAAGTGGACTTTCTGCTAACCAGCTTTCCTCTCTCCACAAATCTAGATTAACTCGCAGCCATGCTGCTCTTGGGACTCAGGAGGTTAGAGATGAGGTGGGATGAGGTGGGACAGAAGCTTTACAAGGAAACCTCTACTAGATTGCAGGTGTTTTGAAAACACTTTGAAGTTATATTGGTAATCCTTCGGGTCCTTGAACCAGAAATAAAAGACAATATTTCTCTCTTGAAAGGCACGTAGAAAATGACTCTGGGTACAGAATGTCAAGCAGTGCACACACGAATTCGTATATAGGAAACCATAGCTCTCATTAAGAACTCTTTCTGGGTTAGTTAGTTTTTCTATCTCCTATCACATTTGAGCAAAGGACTCATTGCCTTTTTAAACTCTGCTTAATTTACTACCAGCATCCTTCTGCCTCCACCTAGAACCCCCCCGATGGGTCACTGTCTTGAGTCATTTATCAGAAACTGAGTCTTTAATATTTTCCCACTGTCTAAAACTGTCTCTTTCTAAATAAATTTCATTTAGCCTTTGTTCTATATATATGACCTGAAAAAAATAGTGTTACATGAGATTTCTTTGAATTTCTGTTTACCAGCTACTAAAATATAAACTGCTGTTGAGCATATTAATTTCATATTTTAAGCACTTTTTCATTAATATAAGCAAATTTATTTCTGGATTTTTGTTTTTAAGTCATCAGTATTCTTTGTCATCTCTCTTGTAATTGGACAGAGATCCATTTAACTTCTTCATGTGAGATGATATATTGTTCAGATGAGTCCTTTCTCCTAGAGGCATTTTCTTTAACTCCAAGATGAGTGGAGACTCGGTTAAAGCTTAATTTAAAATGGTGCATGGAGCCTGTTGTTGGCCTTTGAACTTTCTGTTTCAGTCGTAGGTGGATATTAAGTTTTCCTGATGAGAAGAAAGAGGTATATCAGATACCACAGTATATTTAGGTGATAGGAATTTTAATATGTTGGATGTGTAGGCATTTTTAAGTATTTGAAAACCAGCCCTTCATTTCTCTTTTAAAATCATGTAGTTGATGGACACGGAGGCTGTCTCGTTTGAAACTTATTAGCTATTCACAACTGTAATCATCAAATGGATCTGGAAGGATCTAGCTTTGCTTGAACGCAGAGGTCTGTTTTCTGAGATGAGTCACCTCCTGGAGTCAAGAACCATGCTGAGAATTTCTCTTTCCTGCCTAGAAACGAGATGCTCCTCCGGAAGCCGGCCGTCCTGATGTGCCACTTTGTGGACGCAGCATAGACCTACCCAGGGAACTCAAGCTGATGGTCACACAGGATCACACACAGCTTTGGTATCATACTTATACCTATTATATAGGCTCTGGCTTTCTTATGCTTCAGCTCTGCCCCTGACAAGCTGTGATTCACTGGAACCAATAAGAGGGACAGAGGTGCCCTGACGGGTGGTGGGGATAAGTCCATGCTGCCTGCACAATAGAGGCTGAGGTGGCTGCTCCAGGTGGCTCAGGTTTGGTGTGCTTGTCTTTAAAACAAAGACTGCAACCAAAACAACAGACATGGGCTTGTGCTTTTTTTAAAGCTAGAGCCTCAGTAAGTTGTCAGCATTGGTTGGTAACTCTGTTCAGGTCTGGCAGCGAGCTCTGCATGAGGAAAAGGAAGAAGGAATGTTAGAAAGGGTTGCGGGAAGTGGGCCTGTGGAAGGAGGGTGGCTTCCCCTTTTCTGATCATGGGCTCTGAAAGATCGTTGCCTTTACCAGCATTCAGTATTTACCAGAAAGAAGGATCTGTGTCCTTGCGCGTGTCTGTGAGAGTGGGAGTGCTGCTGTAAACAGCTGTAAATACTGTAGTTGTTTAAAATGGAAATAAAAGCTGAGAGGTCTTTTGACATATATTGATCAGGAAAAAATAGAGAGTATTGACCATGGATTAAAAACAGGAAATAAAAGTTTTTCATTTTGCCTTTTGTCCATTTTTTGTCAATTTTTTTAAATGTAGAATACAGTGTATTAGTTCCATGTGACATATTCTTAAAACACTCTTGGTTCTGAAGGAATCATCCAAAGCCTATAAACATGGGGTTTGGCGTACAGCCCTGGTGGTACCTCCTCCACAGACATTTTCATCCTCTGAGTTATTTTACATGTTAATGGTAGGACGTGTCAGGTGATAAGACATTTGTGTTTAGTTACACTAAGTTCCCATGCAGAGGAAGGAAGAAGTCTCAGACGTGTGCCAGGGCTATATACTCACCACCCAGGGTCTTGACACATCCTTCAAGATGGAAACTTGTGTGGGGAGAATTTCATAGTCTGGACTGTCACTAGGTGCATGCTAGTGTCATTTTAAGTAGTAATAGTGTGGGAGGCAGATTACTTTCTGCAGTAGAACCTCCAACAGTTTGCTTCCTCTCTCCTGGATCACAGCATTCCATCTTAAAGATAGTATAGATTTGTAGTGACAGGAAACAAGCCAGTTGAGCAAAACACCTTCAAAGGAAGAAAGGGCTCCCCTGGCGAGTCACATTCATCTTGCAGTTAATTCCAGGGGCTCTTACTGCGAGACCTCCACCTTACTTTTAAAATGCACCTTTTAAAGTGTACTTAGGATTTTTCATCTCAACGTGTTTTGCTGGCTTTAACTATGTAAGAGCATCTTCCCCTGAAGTGGGCAAGGTGAGCTTTTAAGTGTCACCCGAGTGTGGCTTCCTGATAATTCAGCCAGCACTTGTACATAATATTCTATTTTCCCTCTCATACGTGCTTATGAAAGGCAACTGAACGTAATCACATCTGTACACAATTTGATGCAAGACAACTGTGGATTGCTTTGTAATTTCTCTATCATGTGGTCTTGGACTGGTTAGGTACTCAGTGAACCAGCTGTGCCAAAGGGCAAAGTCAGGCTCGTGTTTCCTTTTGTTTCTGAGTGAGTCGTGTTGATACATAAATAACTAGCCCTTATGAAACTACACCAGATCTCTGGCCCCATCTTGAAATCTGTCTTTATCAGAAAAAGTCAGCATCCAGGGTAGCATGGACACTTTTCAAATTTGTGAGTAGCCTTCACTGCACTGATCTTGGCCTTTTGAGAGCTACAGGAAGTGCTGGGCTGAGGAAAAAGTTGACCAACCATGCAGTCACCATACATGCTTCTACCAGTTCCAGCAAGCTCAGCATACCCTTTGCCTCTTCAGTGTTGTTGCTCCTTTAAGTGCGAGGACCAAGGCCAGTCACTGCATGTGGGCTTCTGGGAGAAGAGGGCACTTCCTGGGCAAGGACCTGGCTTAGCACAGTCCTGAGGATGAGGAGTCCAGTGGCACACAGCATCGTGGTCACAGGCTAGAGAGGAGGTTTACACGAGAGAGAGTTCTGGAAGGGCTGTCAGCTATACTGGCCAAGGAACATTATCTATTTCCCCGTGTTCAGCTCCAGAGCTGGACACAGGATGTGCAGGCGAAAGTGTCTTGCCTGCAGGGACTCACCGCTGTAAGCCAAGGGTAGAGACAAGACCCATCTCAATGGGCCTGGGGCTGGGGATACAAGAATCCTCCAGCAGCTTTGGTGCCCATAGTTTTCCTTCACGAAACACCCAGAGGTCTACTCAAAGGAAGCACCTTCCTCAAGGGCTGAAGCAAGGACTAGCCATGCCCCATCTTCCAGGTTCTGCTCCTCATCGGCAAGGTGACACAGTGCTACAGGGGACCAGAGAACTAGCTAGACATACTGGACCATCAGAAAGAGCCAGGTAGGAGCAGTGTTTCCAGCCTCTCCTGTGACAGCGGTGTGCTAGAGGAAATGAGAGCCCTGGGCTCCAGAAAGCCCCTGAATCTCAGCCAATGAAATGCAAGGAAACGGTTCTGCTGTGTCCCTGACAGACTCTGCCAGGAGAGGGCAGCAGGAACTCAGCCCACACTGGAGAGACACATGCAGAGAGCAGTGCCCTTGAGACGCCTCTTCAGAAGCAGGGTGAGGCATGAAGAGAGCAGTCAAGAAAGGCTCAGAGCTCCTGGGTAAGTCACCCCCCACAGGCAGGACTACCCCTGGACCTGCTTAACACTTGCCCCCAGTGAAATTCTTTCCCTGGCACATGTCAGTGTAGGCCCTGAAATCATAAAACTTGAAATGAAGATTGTCTGTTAAAACATACCAGGCCTTGAAGCATCAGTGTTGGGCAAGGTGCTTTGTCCCTGAGTAACAACCAAGAGACTGTGCTAGAACCAAATCCTTGGATGCTCCAGTCCCTTGTGTGAAATGATGCTCTGTGTATGTGTTTTAGGGATTGGCCCCAGGGCCGTGCCCATTCTCAGCAACTGTAATGCCACGGAGCTTTGTCCCCAGGACCTCCATTATGTCTTATGACCTCTAGACGACTCATGATACAAAACAACATAAACACAGGTAAGTAGGTGTTAAGCCACATTGCTAGAGATTACTGGCAGGAAAAGAGATGTATGTTGAGTTGCCAGTTTCCATCTCCAGCTGACACATTCTGGATGCAGCACGCCAGGACACACAAGGCTTACCCTTTGCTCGCTGATTCCTCAAATGGGTACCACATGCATTCGTAAGTACGCGGCTGGCCACAAGTGCCAGGGGAAGCTGAGGACCCCTGGGTTCCTCTCAGGGATGGGAGTCACGAGACAAAGGGCCAGCTACCTGCTTTCCAGCCCAGCAGAGAGGGGCAAGCTGGAGGTAGCAGAGTGAGGGTAAGTAGCCTGGCACCACTCCTCTGGCACTTGGAATGAGCAGCACACCTGGGTGACTCAGTTTTAAACTGTGGAGGCAGCCGGTGCCTCATGCAGGAGCCTCAGTGCTACCCATACACACTCTGGTGAGGGAACACGTGCACACAGACAACTCAATAGAGGGGTCACACAAACGCTACCCCACTCTTAGTGTGACAGAAACCACATGAAATGTTTTCAGAGAGTTTAGTAGGGAAGAGAATTTAATCTGTTAACCAGGAGGAAGAGACCTGAGGGAATGGAAGCCCATTCCCCACCCCCTTGGTGACGGGGATGGCGAAGGGCAAACAGCCCCTGACAAGGTAGGAGAGCAGAGGTAAACAGGTTGGGGTTGTCAGGAAACTTGAAAACATTCGTTTTGTTTAGGATATATTGGGTTGAATGCTGTTTGAAGGCCCAAACGATGAGAAACACATCTTCCTGAACGTAACAGTGAGACTTAACTCAAGGACAAGCCCAGGGTTGTTTCCTGGTCCTGAGTCCTACCAGCCTTGCCTGCACAGTGGTGTACAAGGCCTGACCTCCATAGCCTTGCCCGGATCTCCTATGAAAAAGTTGGGGAAATATCTCCCCACCCCAGTTGATTTTTTTTTGTTGTGAAGATGTTGTTGTTGGTTTGGGTTTGGTAATTGTTTTTTGTTTGTTTTTGTTTTGTTTTGAGAAAGTAGCTCATCTACTTTGCTACCCCGGTAAGTCTTGAACTTGTAATCCTCCTGCCTCATCCTTCGAAGTCCTGAGATTACAGTAGTGCGTCACTGTGCCCAGCTAACCCTTTCCCTTTAAGGGCCCAACCTCAGAGCTGCTAATCCCCTTGACTAGAATACAATCACATGGCTGTACGGATGCTGGGAAATGTAGTCTTTGCTCTGTGCAGTGAGTGCCTACTAAAATTCCGGGCCTGTAGGATGAGAGAAAGCACAAGATGCTGATTACCAGGGACCATTGAGCAGCTCAGGAGATATGTAGATCCCCAGGTGCTAGCTGCATGCTTTGTTGTCACTGAAAGCAACAGGGTCTGACCGACCCCTATCTAAGCAGAGAACTAACAGTGCTGCATTTGTTCCTTGAATTAAAATGCAGCAATCAAGAAAAGGAATGTGATGGTAACTGGAGAGATGTCCCCATGGTCAGGAGTAACTGTTGCTCTTCCGGAGGATCCAAGTTCAGTTTCTAGCACCTGTATCTGGCAGCTAATAACTGCCTGTAATTCTAGCTCCCAGAGACCTGACACCGTCTGGCCTCTGAGAGCACCCACACTCAGGTGCACATAGACACAGATATGTACAGACACACATAATTTAAAAACAATAAAAAGGAAGCTTTTTTTTTAAGAATGTGGCCATGCAAAAATTATATATATATATATATATATATATATATATATATATA